AGTGTGAAGGATTTCAGTTTTTGACCATTTAGTATGATATTGGCTGTTGGTTTTTCATAGATGGCTTTTATTCAGTTGAGGTAGAGACCATCTATTCCAATTTTTTGTAGGGTTTTTATCATAAATGCATGTTGGATTTTGTCAAATGCTTTTTCTGCATCTATGGAGTTGACAAATGTCTTCTAATGGTACCACATAGTCCTGCTCAGAATTGAGATGGAGCAAAGGAGCTCTAAGCTGGCCTTCAGAGAATAGGACCCTATTTTGGCTGTACCTCCAGCATTCTCTGTGGTCATGGACAAGCTACTTATCCCTTCTGGGCCTCAATTTCTCTATGCATAAAACAGAATGTGTTAGATTAAATAATCCCTAAGGACATTCTTGCCTAAAGTTCAGTGACTTATAGAATCCAAAGAAAGGAGAGTTAATATGAGTTACAATGATCAGGAAAAACTTTATTCCATGCTTATTTACTTCTTTTATTTTTTGCAGTACTGGAGATTGAACCCAGGGTCTTCTCACTGAGCTACATTTTCAGTCCTTTAAATTTTTTATTTTGAGACAGTGTCTCACTAGGGTCACTAAACTGGTCAGGCTGGGCTTGAACTTGTGATTCTTCTGCCTCAGTCTCCTAAGTGCTGAGATTACAGGCATGAGAACTCATGGAGTGCTGTCACGAGTGCTTGTATGTAGCACTGAGTAAAATAGACATAGTCTTTGCCTGCACTGAGGTTGATATCTACTGTAGAAAATGTACAAAAAAAGTATTAAAAATAAGTATTAAGAACATCTGTGATATTGAGATTCTAGCTGGGGTCTGAAGAGTGGGGAAGTCATTCAAGCTACAGGTAACAGAATTCATCCCCTCCCTCTTTTCTCTTGCCAGAGAATCCTGCAATTCTTCCCCCACCTCAATTTTTGTGGCTATGGAGACTACTAATGGGACTGAGACCTGGTATGAGAGCCTGCATGCTGTGCTAAAGGCTCTAAATGCCACACTTCACAACAACTTGCTCTGCCGGCCAGGACCGGAGCCAGAGCTAGGACCAGGGCTAGACAACCAGACTGAGGAGCAAAGGCCCAGCCTCCCTGGCCGTGATGACAACTCCTACATGTATATTCTCTTTGTCATGTTCCTATTTGCTGTCACTGTGGGAAGCCTCATCCTGGGATACACTCGTTCCCGAAAAGTGGACAAGCGTAGTGACCCTTATCATGTGTATATCAAGAACCGTGTTTCTATGATCTGATGCAAGGTGGCCAGGGATGGTAGAAGATCAAGACACTTGAAGATTGTCAGCTGGGGCCTCCAGAACTCTCCTATGGACACAACAGACCTCAGGTTCTCTAAGATCAACAAGAAACAGTGTGTTAAGAGAGGTCATCGTTTGGGTGAGATGGGTGGAGCTGGCAGACCTGGACCTGGTGGATAAGGCTTTTTACAGGCAAAGACAGACTTTATAAACAGTGGGAGTCCATGAACAAACATATAGAAGTATGACAAGATAATATCCAATGACTGGTACAGTGGTTGTGGTACTGGTAGCTGGAGGTTGAAGGAAGAGAAGGGTGAGTTGTAGCAGAGGGAAATGAAACAGGAAGATGCTCTAGGGACACTTTTTTTTTTTTAACTTCAACAACCATGAGATCATCCCATATCACAGATAGGAAATCTGAATAATATTAGTTATTTTAATTCACATTTTACATTTTACAAACATATTTCACAGTTGTGATTTTACTTTCCCTTCAAAGAAAGTAGAGCAAGTGCCATGGGCCCCATTTGGGCCAGAGTGGTGCTATGATTAGAACTCAAGAGGTCTGGTCTCCTTGTCCAGAACTTCTCAAAACTCAGAGCCACAAAGGTATGAATCCAGATCTGAAGCCTACACAATTCTAGGAATTCTTTTTAAGAAAAAGAATTCATAATTATCTTGCTTTTTCAAATATTACAAAAATGTATCTTCATTTAAAATGTGGCAAGGGCTCGTCCTAGAACTTTAAGAAGGAGCCTGTATAAGTGCAGGACCCTGAATGTTAAGTCTTATTAACTCTGTGGCCTATGTGTCTCTTGAGCCACGGCATAGTGCCCTTCTCAGCCACATCTGCAGTCATGAGGTTTTCACTACCTCTGAAGCAGCATTTTCTACTTTGATTGAATTCTGTGAGAAGTTGAGAAGATTATTGCCATATCTAGGTGATCATCATATTAAAAGATACAGAGTGTGATAGGCAAGGTACATGGTTCAGTAGGAGAACCAGCCCCGACTCTGGCACTAATGTGGTGTATAACCTCAGGCTGGACACCTCTCTGGTTCTTTTTCTTATTTACACAATGAAATAATTAGACTTGGAAGTCTTCAAGGGAGCCTATCAGTTCTGACCTTCATATACATTAGCTTGAACCATATAAAACCGCTGTGTTTGTAGGTCCAAGATAACGGAATAGTTTCACGTGGTTCAATCTAATTCATGCAGTGTGAGAGTAAATTCGTTACGAGTCATTTCCCCAAATCCCAGACAGGAACCACCCACTGTTTCATTTGTCTGATTTCATTTTACGAGATCTCTATGTTGTCCCCAGCAGGCCTCATTGTAACATACATATTTGTTGTATATAGCAAAACTTTGAAAGAATATTTTATAGCAGTTATCTCTGTGGAATAGGGCTATGTGTGATTTTTCCTTTCCACTCTATACATGAGTGTGACATCTGACTTACCTGGCCATACGTATATGATTTATACAAAGGGGGAAAAGCTACTTCCACTTTGAAAAAAGTAAAAATAAACATTTCTGTGTTCCTGAAATGGAGGCCCACCGAACACATTCACCTCCTGACAGGCAGTTATATAGAGTCCTGGGAAACCTGTGCCAAGCCCCATGTGTGCTCCCTCTTTTTGAGGGAGAAAGTGGAGACCTCCTTAAAGAGATATGAGATACTGGCAAGACAACAGATTTTTGGTTTTGCTTTTGCTTTTGTGAGATGAGGGTCTTGCTGTGTAGTCCAGGCTGTCCTTGAACTCACTATGTAGCCCAGGCTGGGTTTGAACTGGCAGCAATCCTCCTGCCTCAGTGCTGGGATTACAGGCATGCACCACCACACCCAGGGTGAGACAAGAGATTTTGAAGTCTATAGCTGATAGGATTTTAGAGACCACCCACCCCCAAATCCCAAATAAAATATGAAATGCAATCAAGGGTCAGAGTGAATGGTCAGCTGACGAATTCTGTAAGGGTTTTGAGAAATGAGATTGAATAGGCCTAGAAGAGTCAAATAAAGGTAAGCATTGACCCAGACTTTGAAAGATAAGGACAGAGCCAGGCTTGGTGGAGTACACCTGTAATCCCAGCACTCAGGAGGCTGGCCATGAGTTTGAGGCCAGCCTGGGCTACATAGTGAGTTCAGGGCCATCCTGAACTACAAAGGGAGAGCCTGGTTCAAAAAACCGAAAAAGAAAGATAAGGACAGACCTGAATAGGCAGAGTGAATAAAAGAAATAAAGGAAGTCTGGTGACAGAAACGTGAGGGAAGACTAATGAGGGCATGTTGGCTGGGGAGACAGCAAATAACAGGCCCAGTATGGCTGTTCCATGACTTCAGGGTGCCCATGTCTGGTGGAGGCAATACTCCACACACTTCTCATACTCACTGGGCTTAGTATTTCTTTTGCTTAAATTACAGAAACTCAATGTACATTAGCATAAGCATAGACGGATTCATGAGAAGTATGGGATAGCTCACAAATTCAAAAGAACTGCAGATATTAAGGCAATGTATCTCAATACTAAGGGTTTGACTAATAAAAAAAGGTTAGGATCTTAAGGAGGTATATTTAAACGTTCTAATATGCGATGACATAGGCACTCCCTTAAGTCTTCCCTCAGGTCTGTGCTCTCCAGTTATCTGGGAGCTTTGTCCCACTGTCTTACACAGCCCATCAGATCTTTGTCTGTGCAGTTTCTGCCCTCTGCTGGCCATGTCCTAGTATATTGCCTTAGGCCCCAAGCAAAACTTCAATAATCATTCATTCAACCCAACATGTATTGAGTACACACTATATGCCAAGCATTCACTTAGAAATACTTGGAATATATACACAAACAAAAAAATAAAAAGAATTTCTTGCTCTAATACTTTAGAGCATTTGCTATATGTCTAAGCACTGGTCTAAACATTTTACATTTTTATTAGCTCATTTAGTTTTAAAAGCCCTCATAATGACCCTGTGTAGCAGGTTATGTCTTTTTTCCTTTTGATACCGGGGATCGAACTTAGGACCTTGTGTTTGCACGGCAGGCGGCAGAACCACTGAGCTAAATCCCAGGCCCCATGCAGGTATTTCTTGTGATTACTTCAAAAGAGTCCAGTTGTTTTTTAATCTAGTTGCAGGTATATCCAACCTGCAGTCCACTGTTTTTCTACCCTCTTTTTAAAAATATTATAATTTTTAAAGTTTTAAAGGACATTTATTACCTATATTCATTAACTGTCTTATATATTTTATATGTGGCCCAGGACAATTCCTCTTTACTCGAAACACTGAGAGGGACACCCGACACGTGCCTGGCAAGTGTAAGGTCCTGAGTTCGATTCTCAGTACCAAAAAAGAAAAAAGAAAAACTGAGAGGGAAAAATGGCAGGGTACAGGTTGGATGTGCTGATAGTGCTTTCAGAACTCACCTTCAACCCAGTTTAGGTCCTGTGGCACTCATAGCCCAGAGTGTAGTTCTGAAAGTCCCTAGAAATGAATGAGGAAATGACTCAGGAAAATGAGGAAGAGTATTAACACCAGTGGCCTGATGCTGAGTTCCCTAGAAACTGAATCTGAGATAGCATTTATTGATGATGAGCATTTTGCAGGAAAACACCTGCAAAGAAGAGTAAATTAGACCAGGAAAGGAAAAGAGCCAGAATGTGTCTAAGGTCATGTCTAGCCCTGGTTTAATGCACACAGAGCTGTTACATATGGCTGGGATGTAAACCACATGGAAAATGTATATACTTTTTTGAGGCAAGGGATCTTTCACATCCTCAGATCAGTCAGTCATTGATTATGAGCTATTCTGTCAGGTCAGGGGACTAGAGGAGGGCTGTAAGGAAGTTGCCATCAGCTGAAGATAATTCTGTGGAGAAGAGTGGTAGCAATGAGTTATTGAAAGATAGCACAGTGAAACCAAGCTAAGGAAGAACTCTTGGAGATTAGTAACAGCTTCATTCCTGGGGAAGGTTCTGAAGCTCGGTATTCTCTGTCTCTCTCTCTCTCTGTCTCTCTCTCTCTCTCTCTCTCTCTCTCTCTCTCTCTCT